AAAGATATATAGGGACATTGGTGTACAATTTACCTTTAATCGGACGAAAATATATATGGGAGCTATATCTAAATCTGAACCGATTTTCACGAAATTTAACACACATCTTCTCAGAGCTTATTCAGTACGCTATGCCAAATTTCGTGCAAATCGAAAGATATATAGGGACTTTGGTACACCATTTATATAAAATCGGACGAATATATATGGGAGCTATATCTAAATCTGGGCAGATTTTCAGGAAACTAAAAACTCATCATTCTAGACCTGATTCAGTACGATGTGCCAAATTTCGTGCAAATCGACATTAAATCGTACGAAACTATATATGGGAGCTATATCTAAATCTGAACCGATTTTTCCCAATTTCAATAGGGTTTGTCCTTGGGCCAAAAAAGTGACCTGTGCCAAATTTCATCCAATTCGGATCATAAATGCGACCTGTACTTTGTTTACAATTTAACATGGACAGACAGACGGACGGACATGCAAAATCGACTCAGAAAACCATGTATCTATCTCGTTTCCTTTTACCTATTACAAACATACGCACAAAGACATAATACCCTGTACCTCAGTGTAGTGAAGGGTATAAAAAGAAATGGTGGTCCACATTATCCGAAGTTACTCTACTCATCACTAACTAGTTTCTTCGATATCTTCCACTATCTTAAAATTACAATTTTAACCTACTTTTATTTACAAATTTAATTTAATTTTAATTCTTAATAAATACTTTAAAACTATTTTCATTTATTTTACAGATATGATGGTGTCATTGAAATCAAAAGACTTAAGACACAAGCATACACAGGTGAGTCAATTTTTCTAGTAGATTTTGTGGCTTTTTAATTTTGTTAGGCATATTATAATTATCATCCTAAAAATATGCTATATATTATTCGATTTTAGTTATAACTTTGTATGACAGTTTATAATATATGTGTTTGGAAAAAATAGTGTTTGCGCTGAATTGTATGCTATATTTTTCGACTGATTTCTAGTGATTAATTAACAAAAAAATATATAACAGGGTGCTATAAAATATACGCAAAAACAAAACAAATAGGAATTCCTACCAAATTCGTGTTTCAATTCAGGTACTAGACTGGGAGTTACAGATAGAAGTCTTGTTTTTAAGAAACTAATGCATGCGCTATTTAATATTTCACCAACATTCACTGCATACTGCTCTTATCCAGACATAGTCAAGTGTATTTGTATTTTTGAATTTTATGAAGTGTTATTTAAATGAATTATCAGTTAGGTAGTCAAATGTTACTATACATTTTATGGATTAATGCAAACCACGAATAAAAAGCATACTACTTAAAAAAATAAATGAATTTAATAATTTATTTCTATTGTAAGTTAGGTAGTAAAATCTATAGAAACAACGAACAAGACTTCGCCATCCGAAACAAAATAAAACCAAATTGAAAATTATTAGGTTTTGCAGTCGGATTTATACCATTAAGCTGTCTGCCTATTCATATGTAATTTGTTGTTTATAATTTATATGATAAATGGAAAAGTGCATTCTGGATTATTTTGTTTTCTTTAACACATTCCCATGGGCTCACATATTGCACTTATTGTACGATTAATATAAAATTTTGCATACACCATTTCTTGGTCCTGGGGCTAACTCAATAGAAAATTGGTTTAGATTTTAATACATTTTACGCATATATTCTCATCTGATATCAAATATCTAATGCAATATACCTCTGATACAAACACCAAAAACCATCCTAAAACAATGTATATCACATTTTATAATAATCGGTTAACATTTATATATAGTCCCTATCATAATCTAAATTCAACTTTATTTTTGGTCTGCTAACATATTTGTTCAAACTTCTACAATACGTTATGATTTAACCTGATACATTGCAATTAAACGTATGAGTATTGAACAAATTAGTTTTGGCGAAAGATAACAGAGTAGTTTTTACGTCTCGAAAAAATTCCATATTTCATGTAACTGGTGGAGAAAATTCGATATTGTCGTGTAATGTGCATGTAATATGGACCGTCTGTCCATATTATGTCCATGTCGCATTTATATCTGACTTAGATTAAATTCTGTATACATATATATAAATACAAAATTCAAATAAAAAAAAAATAATGTTAAAAAAGTAAATTTATTTTTGAATACGGCTATTATAAAACCCTAATTATTGACATTCGCAACCTACCTTTGGTATTTTTCGGTGTATGTCAAGCTGAAACAACACAACAAGCGGTATATTTTCTCAAACGGAAGGTATCAAAGCGTTTTCGAAGTAAAACAATCCGATCCATTCCTTTTCAAATCTTTTAAAAAGATAGAATTCCATAAAAAGAAAAATAATCCAATACCATTATTGACTCACCTCCATGCTTCTCAGTACCCTTGCAATATTGTGGCATGAGCTTTTCATTTTTAAAATTTCTCGCGGGCATGTAGGTCTGCTACCATAGCTCGTCCACCCAATGTTCTTGAAGTTATATCAAACGATATCCTTTTAACCAATTTTGTTGAACTCTTAAATGGGTATTTTTTACTGCTATGACAATTTGTTGATCAATACGAACTGATGTTTCTTTGCAGCGTTCCTCCATGCTGAACTGTCACTACAAACATTTTATTGTAATAATATTCGTTTAAAAATTATGTATAAGAATCGGTAAAAATAACTAAAAATTTTGCATTAATGCATTTTTTTAAGTGAATAAATTTTAAAAGGGCTGGTATATCAATACCAATTCTTGTTAAGGTTTGTAACTTTGTACATATATAATCGAAGATTTGAAAAGGAAGAAAAATAATTTACAAAAATTGTTTGTTATTGTTGTTTTTTGTGATCTGAAGAAAAGTCATTGCTTGATGGCGGGCATGATTACTCCTCACTGGAACATCGGACTCCGAAAATTCCAACGGTGTTAGAAAGAGTACATGTCTGGCTCTTGTATGAACTAGGATTATTGACTTCGCACAACAATTAACATTGGATTTTTTTTTTTTATTTTTTTGGGAAATCACCTATTTTTGACCACAAACTAAGTAAAAAAATAAGGAAGATATTCACCGATTGGCTTTATCCTAGTTCATACAATAACTATACACTCACAGAGAAACGCCCCAAAATTTGAAATCGATTGAGTTTGGTTCTAATACTCTGTTGTAATCATTTCACCTGTGGAGGATATGGAGATAAAAAAGTAGAACGTAAGGTTCGATAGGCACTATAGCCCGCATTAAGACCTAGCCTCTGTGTGGAGGTGGACCTATATTCCATATCTTCGAATTTGAACTAAGTTTGGACGAAATAATAAGATGGGCAAAGTTTGGATGAAATCTAAATTTTCTGAAGCGAATTTGGTCCAAAGAAACATGGGATCTAGAACCAATATTTCGATGAGGCACATTTTCACCGTGTTAAAAATTTCTGAAATTTGTATTATGGTTTACATAATCCGTTTTTAGAAATATCGGTATAGGTACACTTTTTGGTATCTTCCCTATATTTTCATTTCAAGTACCTGTCAGTATATCTATGGTCGAGGGTATCCAAAGTTCGGCCCGGCCAAATTTAACCGTTTTTCACTTGTTATTTTTCGCACCAAACCCATAAGGTTTTTTCCGATTAAGACAAAACTTTGCATAGCGTATTGTATTAAGTGTAAAACGATGTCTGTAAAGGTTCGTTGAAATCGGTTTACATTTAAACATATCTCCCATTTTATCAGTGCGCTTTGCAGCAGTATACTGATCCAGATTTATATATATTGTTGTCATAAATAATTTTGCACAATTTCATAAAAAAAATTCACCAAGGATCCTAAGACTGCCCAAATGACATAAAGTTATGCATAGATTTTCTAAAGACACATGTATGAGTTATTGTAGATCACATATTTAATTTCGTCCGATTTTATGTCAATGGTCCTCCCAAGATGCTATGTCAGTCCTATCGTCAGCTATTGTACGTAGGAGTACATTAGAAGGTACTCAAAGTGGTGAAGGGTATCATATATTCTAAAATTTTAACCATACACAATTGTATTAATTTAGAATTTAATCTCACTTCATACTAGAACCAAACATCTACTTTTTGGTGTCAGATACATTTTGGCTGCAAAAATTTGCCTTAAAAATGTAATATTATGTACTGTATTTATAGATGTTCGTCTATTCTAAAACCGACTAGTAAAGCCATTATAACACTAGAGGACTCAAGAAGAAACAATTATCGTTTGAAATTTAGCTTCTCAGAAAAAGAAATCTAGTCCTGTTTCGTAAATAGAAAATACCAGATACAACAAGTTAGTTGTTAATATTTTTCGTTTCATTTTGATAAAAAAATATAATATAAAATAAAAATTTAATATAGTTTCAGTGGTTTTGTTTTGGAGTTGAAAAGTCGATCAGAAACTCATTCTCCACATCTAATATGTAGATACATACATTTTTTTGATATTACCATATTTACTTTTGATTAATTTCCCCCAATCAAAAAATAAAACAATTTGCAGTTTTTTTTATTTTATAAATAAAATAATGTATTTATTTCAACTTAATTTGTGAAAGAAATTCGATGATTTTTTTAAAGAAACTCTTCATTTGAAACAATAAAAACAAATATTAAATACACATCATTTGTCTCTTCAAACTTCAGCCACTGTTGTTACTCATCTCCGGAGGCCATAATGTCTTTGCAACACATTTGCCTCCTTCGTTTGAAACAACATCCGGGCCGTAAGAGAAAAACTAAACAAAACAATTTACAAAAACTTCCAAACTTCAAACTAAATTCGTAACACTTAATACAACAAATGTAAATAATAAATTCCACGATGTGTTTTTAATATTTCGATTTCGCTTTGTTCACACTCCGAGTCCCTAAAAGTGCGGTGGGGTGCTTATATAAATGATAAACTAATATTTTACAGGCAAAAAAAAATTAAAAACATTCTTAATGGTCAGTGCAACCATAACACATCACAGCTTAGAAACGGCGATGATAATGGACACGTCTTACTACATGGGCGGGACGACCGTATTGATAACCGGATGGCCTGTTGTATGCACGTTGTTGGAATACATTGGTTGAGGCAGTATATTGATTGGTAATGGGTTGTGGTACGGGACGTGTGAAAGTGGCGCGTGGTACACTGAATGTTCTTTGGATAGGAGCGGCGGCTGCGAAAGATCTTTGTACGGGTGCTGGTTTGGGTGGTTCGGGCAAATCGATATCAATATATTCTGGCTCTGGGGTAGCGATATCCTGAGGATTGGGTCCTTGGGTGGCGGAATCGGGCAGAGCAGCGGCGGCAATGCCAATCAAAGCGAATGCAATCAAAAGGAATTTCTAAAATGAGAAAACAAATATAGGATTGAGTTTATATTTTGTATTTAATTTAATATTTCAATATTTTCCTTATTTAAAAATCTACTGAAAATCATGTGAGATATTTAAATTTTTGGCTCATAATTTCACGGTCTTTTGGTACTAGAAAGATTTTGGTTATAAGCGGGTTTGTATCATCAGATTTACTATAGTTCCGTTCCAGAACTTAAAATAATCTACTAATTGTACAAGTTTTGCAACTTTTTACTCGAACTGGTAAAACAGTGAACCAAATTTAAGAGAACTCAAAACATAATGGCGTTATCTTTGTAAACAGAGGAATGTCAACTTCTGATTGGCTGCTTAGTTGATTTTGAAGTATTTAATTTTGCCATATTTACTAGATTTGCGTTCCCGAAATTTTTATATTTTTTGCACTCTGAGAGCGAATGTTTCGCTTTTACTAGCTTTACTATTAAAGGAGTACTGGAAAAGACCATATATTGCTACTGTTCTACCAACAGGTTTCGGAAGATTTTTTTAAAATTTGTTTATAAAAGCCCATGATTTAATTTCTTAAAATTTGGGAATTTTGATGGTTTGTTTACAAGGTGAATTTTCTAGCGTAATAGGATATATTTAGCATAAAAAGTCTATTTATCATCTAAAAAGCCTTCTGTATGATGGGACCGAAGCATTTACCACTGGACTTAAGGGGACCCCCATTCTCGGGGTCAAACTTTTTTGATTTAATTCGATTCTACACTAATTCAAGAATGTCTCTACAAAATTGCAAGTGAAAATCTGAAGAACTCTTGAAGATATAGCCGATTTATTGTGTCAGCATCAAGTGAGGCTAAAGGGCTTCTCAAACTTTAAACGCGTTTCTATACCCTTCACCACACTGTGGTACAGGGTATTATGTCTTTGTGCATATGTTTGTAACAGGCAAAAGGAAACGAGATAGACACATGGTTCCTTTTGAGAATATGCATAGAATCACTTTTTAAGTCGATTTATGCATGTCCGTCCGTCCGTCTGTCCGTCTGTAGATGTTAAATTGTAAACAAAGTACAGGTCGCATTTATGATCCGATTTGGATGAAATTTGGCACAAGTCACTTATTTGACCCAAGGACGAACCCTATTGAAATTGGAAAAAATCGGTTCAGATTTAGATATAGCTCCCATATATATTTTCGTCCGATTTAAGGTAAATGTGGCACCAAAGTCCCTGTATATCTTTCAATTTGGCGCAGAGTACTGAATTAGGTCCAGAATGATGTGTGGCAAGTTTCGAGAAAATCGGTTCAGATTTAGATATAGCTCCCATATATATTTTCGTCCGATTTAAGGTAAATGGGGCACCAAAGTCATTATATATCTTTCGATTTGCACGAAATTTGGCATAGATTACTGAATTAGGTCCAGAATGATGTGTGCCAAGTTTCGAATAAATCGGTTCAGATTTAGATATAGCTCCCATATATAGTTTCGTCCGATTTAAGGTAAATGGTGCATCAAAATCCCTAAATGTCATTCGATTTGCTCGAAATTTGACATAGAGTACTGAATTAAGTCCAGAATGCCAAGTTTCGATAACATCGGTTCAGAGTTAGGTATAACTCCCATATATAGTTTTGCCCGATTTTATGTAAATGGTGCACCAAAGTCCCTATATACCTTTCGATTTGCATGAAATTTGACATAGAGTACTAAATTAGGTCCAGAATGATGTGTGCCAAGTTTCTAGAAAATCGGTTCAGATTTAGATATAACTCCCATATATAGTTTTGTCCGATTTTATGTAAATGGTGCACCAAAGTCCCTATATATCCTTCGATTTGCACGAAATGTGGATTTATAAGTAAATAAAGAACTCAAGATGTGGCCGAATGCAAAAAACATATTGAAATAAGTGTAACCTAACATGTGACAAGTTTCGATGAAATCGGTTTAGATTTCGGTATTTTGAATTAAATTTATTTACATAATTTTGTCCCATTGTAAGAAGCAACTCTATATCTGACCGACTTTACTACTTTCCTTACTGGTTTTCTTTTCGAATGGCGGGCACGATAACTCAAAAACTAATAACCCAATCGATTCCAAATTTTTACACGTTTCTCTGTCAGTGTATAGCTATCGTATTTTTTCAAAGGTCCGCCATTTTGTTAATTTTAGAGCGAAGTCAATAATCCTAGTTCATATGAGAGTCAGACATGTACTCTTTCTAACATCGTTGGAATTTTCGGATTCCGATGTTCCAGTGAGGAGTTATCATGCCCGCCATCAAAAATAAGGACTTTTCTTTAATTTTTTGTAAATTATTTTTCTTCTCTTTTAAATCTTCAATTATATATGTGCAAAGTTACAAACCTTAACAAGCATTGGTATTGATTTACCAGCCCATTGAAAATTTGAAAAATTAAAATCGGGAATGGGTGGGGTTCCCTTAAATGTTCTACGGAGTCAATTCCTTGAGCCCTCTAGTGTGGTAATAGCAATACAAAACTACATCTGAATATGTAGACCCATGTCAACATTTTTGTATAACTCCCATTTCCGAGTACATATCACATACTTGATATCAGTTTAAATGCCAATCACTCCTCTTTGTTACACTCAATTTGAAATATTTGTATTTTTTCACGAACAAGTCCAGGTCTCTTTGATCCGCTTAATATTGAAAGATTACCATATGAGAACTCGTTCGAAAACATCGATTTTTAATAAATTCTAATTTGAGGTGAGGTGTTACGGTTTGATTCTTAAAATCAATTATCACCATATGCTCTTCAATAGTTTTCGCCTTCCGTCTGGCCTTTATTTTAATACATTAATTTTATATATTGATATTCTGAAAACATTTAGAAACGTGTTATTATGCTTTCAAAAAAAAAAAAATCAACAAAAAAACCCCCCAACTGAATAAATAAAACTAATAGCTATAATGTTCTCTAATCTGCATTTAACTGCCTTGGAAAATATATATTATTATAATATTCTACTAATTGATTAGTAATCACTTTCGTTTAACATTTAATTATTTATGCAAACAAAAGATTTGCATTAATTGTTTGTTTTTAAAAAGTTTAGATTGACCTTAAAAAAAAAAACTAACTGATATTTTATAGTTTTTTCTATTTTTTGATTCAAAATTTGTATTAAATTTAGAATATTTTATATTTATAAATTCGAAATTTTTCATAGTTAAGGAAATTCCTTCCAATTGGAATATGACCTCAAATTCAATTTAAAAATTATTAGTTTAACTCATTCCATACATAATATTCATATATAAGAATGCATTTTTCTTCACAGTTTCTATCAAAATGAGCTTCAAAATTTTATATATAAAAGTAAATGTTTATCACCATCAATAAGAACTGAAGTCTTAAACGTGTATCACTTTCTTATCTATTGTCTTTGGATATTAATTTGTAGCCAAATAATTATCTATTTAAAAATAGTACAACGTTTGCTTGTTATTCCATATATTTTTACTTCCCTCTAATAGCTAATTGGCATGTGCCAGTCATTGCTTAAAACAGCCTTAGCAACTAACTACGAATAATCATTAAGAACAAATTAATAATTTACTACCCAAGACATATAACTCGTCTTAAAACAATTTTTATGTTAAACTGGCCATACAAGAATTTCTGGTAAACTATTAGCTTGGTGTTTTGATTTAAAAAAAAAAATTATTTAATTGGTTCTCTCATTATATAAAACATATGTTAATATTTAAATCCCGAAATATATATATTATAAATTAAAATGCATAATATATTGGAATTTTGTTTATATGATACTTCATTTATTATTGTAGAGGAATATTTTATTTCACGTTTGAAGGAAAAAAAACATTTATTCGGACGTTGTTGTATGATTAATTTTTCGCTCGATACATGATATACAAATCCCCCTGATGTCTCAGAAAGCTGTGACCAATACCCTTAAATTCGATATTACAATTTGAATTCTGCCAACATATTTGTCAGAGATCTCATAAAGTATCTATAAAAATAATTCTTTTTTGTGAGAATTTACTACTTCTAGGGTGTTTGGTATTGAGAATTGGATATTTTGGTCCACGTTCTAATATAACTTCGTATAACGACCCATTTGAAATATTTTTAGCCACATTTTCCCAGCGAAGGGTCGGTCAATTGGCATTCCAGTACTTCGTGAGTGGAAAACATCTTTGCAGGAATTTTTCAATACAGAGGTCTGCCCAATTGCAAGTATTTTGGTGGCCTTTTTTACCCTAAGTGACTGATATTCGATATTTTGCGTTCAAGGTGGAAAACTTTTATTCTTAAAAAAATTTTAATAGTTCAATTATATGACATATCCCCTATATAAAGATATCATCCAATTTTCTATATGTTGAACCACCAATGTCTCCTGCTGCCAAGTATAGGACAAGTTTTAAATGCTCGATTTGAATTCAGATCAATTTCCCCTCCTAGTTCTAACTCGCCTTATACGGTTTACATTAGCATAAACTGAGATATCGAGACTATAAGATATAGCAGACTTTCGAACTCTTCAACCTACGGGTCTGTTATTTGGATTTTCGTTTTCTCTGTTGATCAAAAAAAAACCTCCTGGCAGATTTTTTATTTATCCATTCCGAGATCTTATCAGAGACCTGGAACTCTTATTACCGAAGACCTGGAAGACTTTTTATTACAGAGTTCGAGATTTTCTTATAGCAGAACTGGAGATCTACTTATCGAAGAATTGGATAACTCCTTATTGAAGACCAGAAGCTGTTCTTGTCGAAGACATGGATCTGTTCCTGTCGAAGACATGGAGCTGTTCTTGTCGAAGACATGGATCTGTTATTGTCAAAAACATGAAGGTTTGAATATATCTTCTTATCGAAGACCTGGAGATTTTCTTATCAAAGACCTGGAGTTCTTATTATAGAAGTCATTTTATAGCAGAGTTCGAGATCTTCTTATATCAGAACTAGCAGTATAGGACAAGTTAAATGCACGATTTGAATTCAGATCAATTTCCCCTCCTAGTTGTAACTCGCCTTATACGGTTTACATTAGCATAAACTGATATATCGATTGACGGCAATCCACTTCGGGAACTTATGGTAGACCGGGAGGTCTTCTTATAGAAGATCTGGAGCTCTTCTTATCAGAGACCTGGAAGTCTTTTTATAGCAGAGTTTAAAATTTTCTTATAGAAGAACTGGAGATCTACTTATCGAAGATTTGGATAACTTCTTATAGAAGACCAGGAGCTGTTCTTGTCGAAGACATGGATCTGTTATTGTCAAAAAAATGGAGGTTTTAATATATCTTCTTATCGAAGACCTGGAGCTTTTCTTATCAGAGACCTGGAGTTCTTATTATCGAATTATTTTTATAGCAGAGTTCGAGAACTTCTTATAGCAGAACTGGCAGTATAGGACAAGTTAAATGCTCGATTTGAATTCAGATCAATTTCCCCTCCTAGTTGTAACTCGCCTTATACGGTTTACATTAGCATGAACTGATATATCGATTGACGGCAATCCATTTCGGGATCATATAACAGACGGGGAGGTATTTTTATAGAAGACTTGGAGCTCTTCTTATCAGACACCTGGAAGTCTTTTTATAGCAGAGTTCAAGATTTTCTAATAGCAGAACTGGAGATCTACTTATCGAAGATTTGGATAACTTGTTATTGAAGACCAGGAGCTGTTCTTGTCGAAGACATGGATCCGTTATTGTCAAAAACATGAAGGTTTTAATATATATTTTCTTATGGAAGACCTGGAGCTTTTCTTATCAGAGACCTGCAGTTCTTATTATCGAAATCTTTTTATAGCAGAGTTCGAGATCTTCTTATAGCAGAACTGACAGTATAGGACAAGTTAAATGCTCGATTTGAATTCAGATCAATTTCCCCTCCTAGTTGTAACTCGCCTTATACGGTTTACATTAGCATAAACTGATGTACCGATTGACGGTAATCCATTTCGAGATCTTATAGCAGACCGGGAGGTCTTTTTATAGAAGATTTGGAGCTCTTTTCAACAGAGACCTGGAAGACTTTTTATAGCAGAGTTCGAGATTTTCTTATAGCAAAACTGGAGATCTACTTATCGAAGATTTGGATAACTTCTTATTGAAGACCAGGAGCTGTTCTTGTCGAACACATGGATCTGTTATTGTCAAAAACATGGACGTTTTAATATATCTTCTTATCGAAGACCTGGAGATTTTCTTATCAGAGACCTGGAGTTCTCATTATCGAAGTCTTTTTATATCAGAGTTCGAGATCTTCTCATAGCAGAACTGGAGATCTTCTTATCGAAGAGGTCTTTTTATTGAAGATTTGGATAACTTCTTATTGAAGAAGACCCAGAGGTCTTTTTATTGAAAACATGGAGCTGTTATTGTCGAAGACATGAAGCTGTTCCTGTCGAAGTCATGGAGTTGTTCTTGTCGAAGGTATGGAGGTTTTTATATATCCGGGCTGGTGGTCTTCTTCTAGCGGACGTGGGGCCTTCATATAGCAGAACTGGAGCAAAAAGCTGAAGCTCTCTTTATCGAAAACCTTGAGCCCGTGAATTTATAGTCCCTGTCACCGGTCTGAAATCGATAATCTATATTTCCTTGACTAATTCTTCTGCCTTCATAGTTCCTTGAATCTCTGTCTGGAAACATGTTCCAATGTTTGTTTGAATTTTCATTAATATTCGGGCATTAAATAAAAATTAGCTAATAAATACTCCCCAACGATTTACATCTAACTCCTATAATTTCAAGTGGACAAAAAAAAAAAGAAATCAGTTTGTCAATATAAAATATTAACCTTAAACCTATTCAAAAATATCCTCAAACTAATAGTCCTTGATTTCCCATAAATATATGAAAATTTGGTTTGGATTCTTTGTCGTGTAATATAGATTTTTTATAAAAAATATCCCTGTGGCCGAGTGATTACTTGTATTTTGTTTTCCACCATTCTGATCTTTACTAATTTTATTTTATTCATATAAAAAGGTTATAGGGATCATTTATCCTTATTAAAGGTTTCAACACAACATATTTGCCAATAATATTGGACATTTCCAAACATCACATTACTTTCAAATATTTAATATTTTTAAAGTTTATTATTAAAATTTCGATAACACAATTTTAGTTAACAGGATTTGGATATATAAAATTGTTTTCAACACTATATGGAAGTATTCACAATTTTAGATTTTTCACTGTAAAATATTTTCCAGAACTGTCTTTATTTGTCCATGAGAATATCCTCTTCTATACACAAATTGTTAATTATTATTATGTCTTTTTTTGCATAATCACCTACCATTTTGTATGGTTTGATTTGGGTTAAATTTGTTTTGGTCTCGAAAGAAAAAAATCACACACAATTAAAACACTTGAAGTAAATCACGAATTTGTTATTTTCTTGTTGATGTATTCTTTTTGTGTAAATATGCTATTTAAATTCTATTCTTTTAGAAGCGTTTCGTCGTTATTTGTTAATTTTGAATATTTCGAAATATTTTGGTTTTGTTTCGAAAACGCTCTCAAGAAGTTCAAAGCACAAATGATGATCAATCGAACAGATGCTATGAAATTTATATATTCGACGCTTTTTATGTTTGGCAATCCAAATTCGCCGCGCGCAGACTCTCACACGTCCACACAAGCGTTAGCTGACCATAAACGACGACAGCACTAACGCACACTCTCACACCGTTTGTCAAATAGAGTAAGACAAAGAATCTGCTAACTCTCCACCAATAATGAAAACAACAATTTATGCTAACCACACAGAAGTAGAAATGAAAAACAAAAAATCTTTTCTAAAACAAAACAATAAAAGTAAATGGAACTAAAGACGAAAAATGAATGGTTGACCATCATCAAAGATCTATGCGAATGGATTGTAGACAACATCCACATAGAGGGCAGGTGATGATATTTTAGGTGAAATAAATGAATGTTCAATCGCATAGACAAAAAAACAAATCAGAGATTAATTTAATCAAAATAAATCAATGAACAAGATTAGACGTGAATTCTATTTTTATTGCTTATTGCTGATTTTAGTGTATTTTTGTGTAAGAGATAAACGTTGAAGTGGGATTTTTAATTCGGGTATTCTAAAAATAATCTATGTAAGCAACAATTTTAGATCTCTTCTTGAGATATAAAGGGAAAGGATATAGTTTATATTTAAACTCAAATTACATAGAACTTTGAAAGATTTATTTTGAAGTTCACATTAATTGAAAATGAATAATTATGAAAATCTCATTTTCGTGGGAATCTAGTATAACTACTTTTTTTACAAGTACATTAAGGGGATCCAACCATTTTCGATATCAAATTTCGAGGTGTTTCAAACGTCTGAAAATGAAAGATTTGTATTTTATGTAATTAAAGAAAGTACTTCTTTTCGACTGCAGGCATGATTGCCGACCACTGGAACATCCGCAATTGCAAAACTCCAACGCAATTAGAAATCCTACATATCTTGCTCTGGCATGAGCTGGGATAATTGAGGAAAAATTATTTTTTTGGAACGTGCCCGTCAATCGTAAAAAAGACTGTTTCGAGAAAAACGTGTTTAACGTTTGACAATCTTGCTGTCGCTTGATGTTGACACACTAATTTAGCGATCTATTCAAGAGTTGTTAATATTAAATAAAAACCAGTGATTGTGGCCTATTGTTTGTATTTTTTTAAGTTTTCGGTCCACTTCATCCCAAAATTATTATCTGATCATCACCGAAAATTATAGGAGTTATCCTTGACCACATCTGGAAAATTTCAAAGTTATCAGCGCTGTATTTCGGCCCTCTAGTGAGTTAATGGGTTACTAAATAATATCTGAATACGTAAGCACATGTAAATATTTAAGTGTATCTCCCACATCTGAGTACATACGACTATATAAATAGTATCAATTTAAAGATCAACCACTCCTCTTATAGAATACAATTTTTGTAATTGTAATTTCACACAAAAGTCAGGCTTCATTTGACCCGCTAAATACTGGCCAATCTTTATCAAAATATGCATGCTTATTCTTTAGCCAGATCTCGTTCTCCAAGTTAAAATTTCTCTATGTTCGGGTCATAATTGTAGCCTCTGGAGCGACCATGTCGGTCAAGACCAATATTTTACGGCGTTACAAACTCTTGGGGCTGTACAAAGCTTTAAAACCCTGACAACATAGTTGTGTAGGGTATAATAAAAACAAAACGATTTTTTTGAACCGAGATCATTAAATTCTCAATTTTCCTATATCTTTCATATTGGCAATGGATCACAGATTTATATCGGTTTATTTGAAAATTCTGTTTTGATACAAACGACGAAATATTTTAGCAAACGAAGGGGAAGTGTGAACACACCCCAGTTCACTCAGTTCACTCCTTGGCGTACTTCTTGCACAAGGGTTAACATTTTCCAAACATTTTGATTATCCAAAATATCCACATCGGACCACAATGGGTAATCTTTTTGAAAATTTTTAAAATTTATTACATGCTAGTTGAAGGCCTTCCGGTCGATGTAATCATACAAGGAAAAAGTGGGTAGAAGAAGCTGAATATGAATAGAGAGAAAAAGAGACATATAAAACAGACGTTAGAATAAAAACGGTCTACGTGTTCCGAGGCGCTGTCCCTTTAGATATCTGTTGATATTATAGACTAGAGTAGAAGCTTAGACGCGACGGACAGTGAACAACCGCACAGCGATATTGAAGAAGTTCGATTGTTTTCGTTTCCTCCTCGTCCTCACAGAGCAATACCCAGTAATGACTTCTGTCATAACCCTTATTTAGGATCTGCTCAGGTTCAACAGCGTGTATTTGAGAGTGGTTTTAAATGCCGCCAGACAACCTAGAAAGATAGTCACCAGTTCATCGATTTCTGCATCCAGACTTTTAATCAAATTCGATGCCTTCTATCTAATCTGTAATTGTACTCAAGACTTAGACATTCACAATAGACGCCAGCTCCAGCACCTTCTTCCATCTTGTATCCATCTGAATATAAAGTCAGACCGCCCAGAGGAGTGTTACTATGATTCTCTATTACTGAATGCTGAGACCCAGAGGCCGATCAGAGCATCTCCAGTTATCAGAATCGAGACTGTTTTTTGCACTTTGTATTTTTTGCAGAACGTCGACTTTAGTGCCTCACATAGTCTGCAGTAGTCCGTAACATCATCGTCCCATTTGATGTTAATGGCCCTGATGTAGCAATACCCAGTAATGACTTCTGTCATTACCCTTATTTAGGCTCTGATCATGTTCAACAGCGAGTATTTGCGAGTGGTTTTAAGTGCCGCCTGACAATCAAGAAAGATAAGCACCAGTTCATCGATCTCAGCATCCAGATTTTTAACCAACTTCAATACCTTCTATCTAATCTATAATTGTACTCAAGACTTAGACTTTCACAGTACACGCCAGCTTCAGTACCTTCTTACATCTTGAATCCATCTGAATAGAAAGCCAGACCGTCCAGAGGAGTGTTACTACGATTCTCTATTACTGAATGCTAAGACCCAGATCAGAGCATCTCCAGTTATCAGAATCGAGGCTGTTTTTTGCACCTTGTCTATTTTGCAGGACGTCGACTTTAGTCCCGGTAGACAAGAGATTCAACGTAGTTGAATCTTTCGAAGTGTTGCAAACGGAAAGACAAATTTACCATATACCCCACCCTATAGTGGAGACATAATAATTATAGCCACCGATTGGATAATAAGTCCATCATATAACGGCAACCTCAAATATCTCAGTCCATGTTTTGGTATAGCCGTATAACCACACCGCCAAATTTTCGGCACTTGTTTAAGGCGCATTTCTCAACCGAAAGGACATCAATAGAGGTGTTTTGATATAACCCCCTATATGAGAGTCCGGTCCAATTTTCCGTATTTTGATGTTATAGCTGCATTTTCTTATCGAAACGACTCTAATTTGGAATATTGGGGAATTGGAGCCTGGTATACATATGCGATGAAAACGGTCGACATAGAGGTTCCGCACAATTTTCGCTTGGTTTTGAGGGTTTCAACCGCATTTTCAAAGGGAAAGGCTAAATTTTCGCAGTCTAGATCCTTGATAAAAACGCTTATTTCTATACCCTTTACTGTGGTACAGGGTATTATGTCTTTGTGCATATGTTTGTAACAGGCAAAAGGAATCGATATAGGCCCATTGTTCCTTTTGAAAATGTGCATAGAATCACTTTCTGTTTCGATTTACGCATGTCCGTCCGTTCATGTGTTTTGTTAACAAAGTACAGGTCGCATTTATGATTCGATTTGGATGAAATTTGGCACATTTCATGTATTTGGTCAAAAGACGAACCCTATTGAAATTGGAGAAAATCGGTTCAGATTTAGATATAGCCCCACATATAGTTTCGTCCGATTTTATGCAAATGATGCATCAAACTGCCAATATTTGTCCGATTGGAACACAATTTTGCACAGTCCACTGAATCATGTCCATGCTTATGTGTGCGGAGTTTTGTTGGAATCGGGGTTTTTTTTCAATTGGTTCAAATATTTATCTAGATAGCACATTTAATTTCGCCCGATTTCATCTCTATGGTCCTCCAAAGATTATATGACCGTTCTATCTACAGAACATTTAATTTCGCCCGATTTCATCTCAATGGTCCTCCAAAGATTCCATGACCGTTCCATCTACAGGATATTGTAGATATTAACATGTCTTGCAATGTGGTGTAGGGTATCATATAGTCTACCCCGTCCGACTTTTGAACTTTCCTTACTGGTTTATTTTTAAAAAAACATTTATTTTAATTTTTTTATTATAATAATATTGGTCTAAATGTGATTCCATAAAACCAGTTTTGCTAATTTTTATCAATGCGACAAGTATTAGTGCTAGTTAATAATACTACAATTTACTTAGGATAAGCTATTTGATGATAAATGAAATAAATAACTTTTATTGAAATTGATTGATTTTGTTTACGAATTTCTCATTAATAATACTTTCAAAATTTTTGCAAATATTTGATTAATTGCAAAATAAAATATTAAAATCAAATCCCCATTCTCATTCCCAGTTAGATTAATTATTTACCTCCAATTGAACTATTTCTAATACTACTTTTTTCTCCAAAAACATAATCAATTATTTATTAAAATACTATCATCATCATTCAATAGAATATTTTCAAAAATGAACTTTTCGGTCAATTCTATTTTTCATAAATCATTTTTGTTAATAAACAGCAGCAGTGATCAGTTGCGCTGCAACAATGGCTGACCGTTTGGCACATTTGGTGTTTTTTGCCATTGTATGTTCGTGTCTT